AAATGATCAATATCTTTGGACCGTTTCTTGTACTGGAGGCTTTGGATTGAATTAAAGAATCCAAGATCAAGCACATTCATATCTGGACTATTTGGTGGCTGGGTAACAACACGAATCTTCCAGCCTGCATCTGCTGCAGCTTTGCGAATATCAGTTCTGATACTCAGCTTGTGAGGCTTCGCATTGTCCTCTTGAATAATAATCTCATCAGGAGGTGGACTGCCATCAGCTTTTTTTGGCCACTTTTCATAGATTGCAGGCAACACTTTGTCAAGCAATATTTGCTTGTATACTTCACCATCAACATTCTGTGGTTTGGTCACTAGTGTTCCTTTGGGGCAGTTCACTGAGGGTCGTTGAGCGCCGATGAGTCAGCAGTTGAGGTGCAAAGAAGAAAGAAGCTGGTCTTAGTCAGTTGAATGGAAAGAGCGAAGTGACAGAAAGGAGTCGAAAAGAGGAAATTGGGAGGTGTGAGTGAATCAAGAGTGAAAATTATCATGTGAAAATAACACGGGGAGCATTTTTGTACCATGCGCACAGCACTTTTTTTTCTCTTCGCATCGGTTCTCTGGCTCAAAGTTGAAAAAAACTGCACGAGCCCGAATAAGTGCCCGAGCAATATTTGGCTCCTTTAGTGACCCACTATGACTGCATAAGCACATTCTCAATGAGTACGATAAGTAGATTATATTAAAGCTCTCAGTCTTAGCTTTGTAGAGCTGTATTTCTTGCCTTTAAATGACCGGTAGAGCCTAAATGACGGTAAAATCACATTCATACTATGCCAAAAATGGCTCTGTTTGACCAGCTATAAAGAGTTCACCAATGACATTAACTTAACACACTTAACACAAGTGTACAGCACTATAATAGATCTATTAAGCAAAAAAAGAACCATTCCAATCGCCCAAATATTGAGCTTATTTCAGTAGTAAAGGTGCAAACTGGACACCTGTTCCCGGACGGAGGAAGTACGTTTTTGACTATTTTGAATAAGATTAACCCGAACTCTAAATTAAAGCCAAACCTGCTCTAAAATGACACCGTGAATAGTTGTGTACGGTAGCACTGAGGCACAATATGGCCCTAGTGTCCCCCTGTACCTCAGCAGCCCGGTACCGAAGATGGAGAGACAAGGCTACAACAACTCAGGCTAAGTACGGTTGAAATAACAAATAATATAACTTAACCAAAATCTCAGGATATCAAACTTATCTCCTCGCTACATTTGTTAGTTGATGTCGATTGGACGTGGCTCCTACTAATTCTCTTCTCTCTCAATTTACCCTTCCAGTTTCCTGAGAGTTTTTTTTCTCTATTGCTACCGTTGGTTCTTCGACTTCCTTCTCGGATTCCTGGATATCTCCATCCCCATCTTCAATTATTTCAATGGAATAGTCGCTATCATCATCCTTCGCTTCCGCGTCCAAGTCTGTTGCATCCATCTTTCCTGAAACTAGAGAACCTTTTAGCTCTTCTACGACTTCAATAGAAAAAACGCTCTTATCGTCATCAGCTCTTTGATCTGGTATCATTTTTTTGTCTCCTCGGCATGTATCCCAGCACATCACTTTCAAATCCCATCGATGTGAAAGATCGCGACTGTCTTCATTAACAGGAAGTGGTCCTGCAATCGACAACCATGAAAACAAGAATGTCATCGTATACAGCAGCGCCATACCAGTGATAGAACAGATCAAAATTCCTAGTTCAATAAAAACCCAGGTTCGACAACCGAACAGAAAAGCGCTTGCACCCATCGTCGAGAGTGCACTAGCGATGATTGGTGACCCTACCGCAAAAATAGCTTCCTTGATTTTTTCACCTCTATTGTTCCTTCTCGAGTGATGGTAGGCATGAACCACATGGAGACTTTTGTCAACATATTGATAATTAAAAAATAAATTTTGTTGTAAGTTGACGACGCCTTTCTCATAGGCAAAAGTTAGCTCTCTGTCCATAAGATGAATGATACTTACGAATAGTTGGCACTGAGTCCGATGAAAATGGATACACCCAATGCCTCAACAGGACCGAAGGGGATGCGGTAGACTGCAAAAAGGAATCCTCCTAAGCACAGTAGGATGAGAGTGATTGTTACCATCACCATGAACGAAAGAGCAAGATTTTGAATGAATATGACAATTACCAACAAGCACAGTCCATTAGCGACAAACCACGTGAAAATGGTCGAGTTGTACATCGCTTCTACTCTGTAGGCATCGAGGAAGATAGCGGACTGCGCTACAACCCGTGGTATGCCGGAAGGTGACAACCCATTAGTTTCTGTTGCAAAATCAGTCCATACTCTGTAAAGATCCTCACTCATCATTCTTCCGGCGGCTTCAGCAGTATTTGCTACTTCTACAGAATCCACCCTCATCGTGATGCTTGCATAAGTGAAGTCTCCAGCAAGACCAGGTGCACTGGTACCAATTCCCTCCTCTATCATCTCTCGGGATTCCTCGTCCTGGAGTTTCAGGAGTTCGACGTACGTCGTAAACAAATGCTTTGGAATTGGGAATTCAACACCAGCATAAGCGGCAAAGTCACGGAGCCTCTCAATCCATGTGACTTTGTCCTGTCGGACAAAAAGCTCCGGCTTACTTTTGGCCATTTTGACAACTTCCAGTAACCATTCTTGAGTGCTAGGTTCCGCGAGATCCAAAAGGGCCCGGTCGTGTTCAAAATTAGTAGATTTTTTTTGCTTATTGGTGACCCAGAGGCTGGAGTCTGTTCCTTCAGCGTCGACGCCCCAAATGAGTTTGACATGGATTGTCTCTCTCCTCCTCATGCCCGTTGTAGAAGATGGTTTCGATATTGGAGAAGCTGGTTTCGAAATTGCACCACCGATATTGCTAGTGGTACTACCACCGGTACCTGTGACGGTCTCAATTCCACTGCCACTGCCACCAATCCCATTACCACTACCACTCACTACGTATGGATTTGAGCCACTGTTAACTCCAGAACCTGCGACATCTGAATCATTATCAATCGTATTTGAGCCTTGGTTTGCACTTGAACTTTCTAGAGATTCGGGTGGTTCCGTCCCCAGGTCCGACGGTTCTACTACTGTATGATCATCTGGATAAGTCTCTGCTGCTTCTTCGGGAGAAGAAAATCCAACTGCTGTAATGACCGAAGTCCCACTACTCTTGGTGGGCATGGGCGTAGTCGGTGCTGGCACGGGAGTGGGCGCAGGGTTCGGAGGAAACGTAGCCGGCGCGGTATCTTTTTCAATTGTTGTGTAGACATCCTCGCTTTCACTGTAGTAACTATTCACAAGTTTTTCCAGTCGACCTAGGTTATACTTGGGAGAGTATAAAACAATGCTTCCATCATTCACAGCGAAATTGATGGCGCCACAAATACCGAGAATTATCGCCTAAAAAAGTTCAAGAGCACAACCCGTTAAAATAGATTTGAAAAATTGTGACGACAAAAAGAACTGATTGAAAAGAGCGAGCTTACCAAAATAACGGTGGACACCAAAATATAGTACGCCCGTTTGTTGACGAAAGGTGCATATGTTTCGATCAAATACCGTTCGGCAGGATCCAAATTGGACGTTTTACCAATGATACCTTTCGACTCCTCCTTACCGCCATTGACATAGTTTTCTAGACATTTTTCCGTATCAGTATCGTCAACGTGGTTGTAATCAGCGCATTGGGCATCTCTTTGTTCATTGCCAAGTTTATTTGCAATGAATAAAGATTTACACCATGTCAGAAATCTTTTCTCTTCTGACGCAACATAGATCTCATTCACAAGAATTGAACTTGGTAAAATTGTCATCACGTGCAAGTAGTTCACTAGCACAACCATCCTTTGTTGAAAGAGGAGGAGAATTGGTTAGTTGGAAGGCATTGAATGAGAGGTTAACGATTAATTCCAATAGAAAAAAGGCTTACCCCATAAAAATTCCGAATTCCTGTATAACAGTCAAAACTCCAAAACCGTTGCTGAAGAAGCAGATCGACGTAGTGACGCTTGAAACAAGCATCATACTACCTGCTTTATGGTATGCTACAATTATTCGCTTTCGAAGAATTTGAAGTTTAGCATCCCTCAATTTTTCATCGTCAGGATCGCTGTCACCACTATTGATTTCGGTCATACGATTGCTCAATTCTTCATCAAACTCGTTCTTCGTGTGGTCAAATGAATCGACCATCAAGAAGATATCATCAGCAGCTATACCTAGCATGACGAAAAGGCCAGCAATCCAAATTAAAGTGATATCTTTGACAAAAAAGTGTACTGAAAGCCAATAATAAGATACAGAAAAAGCGAGTACCATTCCCAACATTGAGAAAAAGACAACAAAGAGGCTTCGGACTTTATAGAGGATCATTAGGGCGACAAAAACAAGACTGCCAATCGCCCATAACGAGTCGTGAAATAAGGCATCGTCAGCCTCAGTCGTTTTCATGATGAAGTTGTTCCAAGTATGCACAAATTCAGGATAGGTCCTTTTCCTGTCATGTTTCGCAAGGAAATCCCGATAGAATGATCTCAGCCATGGATGAGTGGCACTTTGATCTCCGCCAACATTTCTCAAAAAAACGAATGATCTCGTTACGTTACTTGCTAAATTTTCGGGCCCGAAATATTGATCAAGTTTCCACAAAGCGGGTCGATCGGTCAAAAAGGATCTCAAAACAGATTCAATATTGCTAACCAATTCTCCGTTCCTGAAGAATCGTGAAATAAGGGAGTCAATTGGAACGCAACTGCTCAACCCGTAGCAATACTGTTGAAATCCAGGAAAATCATAGATTGAAGATTCAAACTCATGAATTGCTTTGAGCACATCCGGCTCAAAAACATTACCACCTTCTCGATTCTGGTACATGATTGACATCCATTCACCTAAGCAGAAGTAATAGCAACAAATTCAATCATTCAAAATACGTCAGTGAAATGGGCAAGCCAGATAATTAGCTGTGCATTGTCCAGCCTTCTTGTTCTTTCCACCTCCAGAATTCTACTGACCTCCGGAAAAATAGTTTAAGTTTGCCAAGCTGAGTTCACGGTGGGTGCGGGGAAGCGTCTCGAAAGGTATGTTCTGCTCGATCTCAAACTCAAGACCTAACTCATCTAACAAAGCTTGACTGCCGAATATTGAATCTTCAATAAATGGAACAGCTGCCTCGCTGATTCGATTGCCAACATCTTCTTCCGAGAGCCTTCGTATCAAAATGTTTTTCCCGTATAAGTTACAATTTGCCTGTTCTATCTCCAGTGAAGCTTCCTGATTCTCCCGGGCTACATCGAAGTTCCTTTTGACGTTTTCTAGATCAGTATCCACCTGGAGATACGAGTCAAAATCCATGTTGATACTAGGAGTAGTGTTTGAAAATCCGACAACACTCAGAGTAATGGGTATCAGGAGTGAGATAATAAAAAAGGTGACAGGATATTTCGTCAAAGCGATAAACCAAAGGTCAGAAGGAGATAGTGGAGCTTTCTTCCCCTTTTGTGCACTGTCACGTTTCATAACATAATAAATTCCCCAAGCTAGTAGAACGAAGCCACCCAGCATGACAAAAATACTGAAAAAACTCAATCGAGAACGTGAGTTGTCAAACTCGACATCGGGTAGAGATGAAGACACTTTGGGAACGGTGCTCTCTGTGTCTGTATATGGTAACGATGGCGAAGACCAAGACATACGGTTGATTACATCGGAAAAGAAGTCCGAAACATCCACGTCATAGTCCGGGAATGTATAGAGGGGACACCATTCAGGGATCGTCTCGTTCCCGTCCAACTTCGTCTGGTTTCCTTCTAAAAAGGCTTCCGGTGCAGTTGGCTCAAAGACATGAAACTTTTGTGGATGATCATTCGCCTGCTTCATGAACCAAAGCGTCTCCTCATCTGAGGCTGTTCCTTCATAGGAAGCCATCCAGATATATTGGATGTCTTCAGTTGACGACTCAACCAAAGATTGCATTGCTTCGGGAAAGCCACCCCCCGAAGGCAAGTCTTGTGTATTCCAACGATCTGTCATAATCTCAGGACTTGGTAGTGTGGGATCCCACATCTTTGATCCTTCTGTTACCACCAGTGTGGATGGGAGAGACGGTGATGACTTGGTCTTCGTCTTCGCTAGATTCGATGCCATGATTGCAGGGGCTATGCTAGATGGCGTTGCTGCATCCATATCATCATCGCATCCACCAACTTTTCCACCGGCAGTGGTCACCAGGGCATCTAGACCAGCTGGAAACTGTTTACGGATCCAATTCATAACTGCGTCTACATTCGTTCCTCCCCTGTGATAGACCGCGTCAACTTTTGACGGATCATCGCTGCAGCCTTCAATTAATTGGGGATGCTTTTTGTGCCCCAAATGCCAATCCAAGGAGCAGTGCGGAAGCAAAATGTAACTCCAGTCACGAATATCCGACCCTTCGCCGCCGAGCCTATCCCACCAACCTTCATCACGGCGAAGAGAAATCGGTAAATCACCATCGATAAAACCATTGATTCCATTATTGTCCGCAAGAATAAACTCAGCTCCTTCAGAGACAAAACCGGAAGGAACCCCTTTGCAGGATCCCAATTCTGGAAAAGTCTTCTCCAACAGTACTTGTCTTTTGAAGAAAGACATGTAATCAAGCCATGGAACATGCCTTCGTCCCGTCGACCCGGCAACATCACAGCAAGAACTACCAATATTGTCGTCCCAGCAAGCAGACCCACCTTCAAACTCGATCAAAAGTTTCGAGACGTGTTCGTCTGTCCCCCGACGAAAGGCGAAGCTATATGGAGTTCCGTCCGCACATATTGGATTCAATTGCGAATCGTATTCGTTGACAGGAAACTCCAAAAAATAGAAATTGCCGGGTGCGGTTAACGCACTCAAAGGTACTTTCCTTGCGTCCATAAACCTGCCATTTGCAGCATTTGGGATGGATAGAACATATAGAGCAAGGACGATCCCATTGAAGAGGGGTAAGTTATTCCAAACCATCTTTTTTCTGACTTCACGAATGAGATTTTGTCCGTGTCACAAATCTTGGCAGGAGCGAAAGTGCGTTCTCCGCCTATTTAACTCCCGTAGCGTCAGTTGTTGTTCACTATTGCGAATGAATAAAATCAGATTACTTTTTCTCAGATTTGTGACAGTTTGCGGACCACCGTGTCGAATAAAATTGGAAGAAAAAAGCAAATGAAAAAGTTGTGACGTGCTATCTGCAAGTACCAGTACGTACCGTTCGTGTCTCTTTTTGTTTTCCTGGTTTAAAATTACGAGTTTCCCGTACTCGCACTGTAGGTACCGTACCAAACCAAGTTTTCACTTCGTATTACAGCATAGCATGCGTCCTGTGTGTGTGCGTCCTCGTACATACCTGTGAGTAATATCAGCGAAGAATCATCGGTAGGTGTCTTGCTTTCGTCGCGCAATGAGTTGGTGATGAAGTCGTGCGAATTCAAGCTCATCATGTTACGTCGAAAGTCGTTAAATACAGTATATTTTACGGAACGGCGAAAAAGGAGGTTTTTGCATGTGGGATGGCTATTAGTAGTGAGTGATGCGGCACCAACTATGTCTTTTGTCCATTATATGTTAAAAACAAATTCTGTTCAAATCTTAAATAATTGAAAAATCTTTGGGTCGGAGTCCCGAGCCATAATCGTAGGAGCGAAGATCAAATTTCGTACATGATGAATAGTAAAATACGAACGTACCAGTAGGAAGGCAAATGTGTTGCCGAAAAGCCTAACAGGTTATGATTCCAAAAAAAACACGCAGTTTTTCTAGTTAAAAAAAAAAACCAGCACGAGGGTTGTCACGCCCTCCAGACAGAGCAATTGGGGACACTTCCTGCCAACACACCTACTGGAATAACTTCATTATAATAAGAAGAAGGGGATCTGGAATTCTCGGATCAATCAACCAACAAGTGTTTTTAAAAATAAAGTTTTCCATATCAGTATCGTAGCATGCTACGTACTACTACAAATTAGTAGTACTACCAAATATTTCGATATAAAAATACTTCAAAAGCGTGACAGGTTGACCTTGGGAAGGCAAATGAAGCCTATTGTTTCGTCTGTAGAGCCGTGTACGATTTGTACTGACTCCGGACCTGTCACGGCCTCATTTGCCTTCCAACTGGTACTCGTATCATACGTATGAGATGTTACTAGTTGGGAGCTCTTCTGCTGCTAGTCTACTATCTGCTTCGTACCAGGGCACAGGGATGATTTTACCACGCCAGCCATGCTACCAGGCAATACTGTACTGTGGTAGTGGGAATGGAAGCTTGCTGGCGCCCTAAAGAGAGTATTCAGTCATGAGCAATATCGAGTCCAACGGACTGCAAGTTGGGGTAGGGGGTTGAGAGAAACCAAATATTAAGATTTTTTATGGTAGGAAAGATAATCCTAGTACCAGAAGCGGACAAAAAATGTTACTAGTAGTAGATTGCAACAAAAAATGTTACCATGATATGGTAACATTTTTAGTCTGCAATCTAGTAGCATCTGCACGAGATTACGTGTACTCTTAGTAGTGTTTAGTAAGTTGTGTGCACGAGATTACGTGTACTCTTAAAGTGTGTATGAAAATTGAATTATAAGATTAAGATTCTCGCGCTCTGACATGAGCTTTCAGAAGCTTTGATTAGATCCTGTGTAGCTCTCAGTACTAAATCTACACAGGGTTCTTATT